AATATATATATATATATATATATATATATATATATATATATATATTTTATTACTTTAATTTTTTTTCAGACTGATTATATATAATGGCTCCCATTTGACATACGGGATTCTTACCGGCTCCCATTTCACGAACTGTGGGGTAATGAGACCGAATGACATGTTTTAGTTTTTTCTTTTTTAACCAAATATTTTATTTTAATTTCACATTTTTTCTGTGATTATCAAGTACCCAGATATGTGAAGCGTACGTTCATAACTAATACAAATTTAAATTACCTAAATTATGACTTTTATTGTCAGTTTTCCTTAGTAGGCTCCCATTCCCCCACGCTCCCCTACAAAGTGTCTAGCTTGATGTGCTCTTGACTGTACCTCGCCTCAATCTAAGTTCCAAAATGCCGTCTAACGTTCTAATGCAGGACTAAATATTTTAATTTTGTTGTTAGTATTCAATTTCGACTATTTTTAACTCGCAACCATTTCTGATTTTCTAACCCCAAACTAAGTCATTTAGATGTTGAATTCGAATGTGGAAAATAACTCGCAATGGTTTGTGTAATTACAATAAACGGAGTTCGTCCCGTTCCTGTCTGAACGTGGGCTGACATATCACCAAGTGCTTAAATTTAAAAGCTATTCATGACTATGTATGTATATGTATATGAACAACATTAATAATAAAATATCATAACACTATTATAGTCACATAAAGCTTAGCAATTTATATGATATAGGTAGGTCGTATAAGTATATATCTGTGTAATATTTTTACCAAATGTTTCTTCCACCAGCTAGAAGACCTGAGTAATTCAACATCCTTGTTCATAAACCACCTTTTCGATATGAGTGAGGTAGAACCTCGCTCATATCGCAAAGGAAAAGAGCAAGAGGATATCTGTGACGATATGGCCGTAGTACAAAACGATTTCGCACGTAATGAATTGCTGACTGATAATGAATTGCTGACTGAAGACATATCTAAAATAATGGAATCTTATGTTAATACCGCTTTTAATATTGCTTTGGGTCAAGAGTTTCAAATTTGTGAAGCGCAAGAATCGCAAGACCCGGAAAAATCTTTAAAGAGTTCTGAGCAGACTGGTTATTCATTCTTAACGGAAGCTTTCTCTGGTGACCTGGGTAAAGATGTAGCGTTTTACGTTGAAAATGAATGCGTAGCTAATGAAGGGAAAGTAGTCGAGATAATCGAAAATATGATAGAAAAAGAAGCTCCCAAATTTACTGAGGTATTTGATTCTCACAGTATATTAAAGTGCTTCAATACACTACAACAAACAAACACATTAGCGCTTTGTGTTGTAGGTTACCGATTCGGCAAATGATGTACAAGAAAAAGAAGATGTGACTCGTTACGAAAATGCTTACTTGACCTTAAATCGTAAGTAACGAATAAATATACTAAAATAATTTTATTATCAAGCGAAAATGGTAAAACGAAAGTAAATAAAGAAACCTATACAATAGGTGACTACGAACAAGAGCAAGGCACTGACGATGAAGCTGATGCTTTATTTCAAGATCCTAAGGCGTTGGCTATGCAGGATGTTGAATTAGCTAACAATACCTTAGATTCGGTGGACAATTTGTCTGTGCATGGAGAACTAGTACAGGTAGTACATTTAAATCGTACAAAGTTATAAAAGTTGTAACTATTAAAATATGTAGGTATGTTTTATAATAATACCAAACTGAAGTATTCATAGAATAAGAGGCTTCTTTTTTATTATTTTTAGTTTGAATTGATGGTGTAAACAAAGTATTTATTTTGGCTATATTTTTTCTGTTTATGCATATATTTTGTGGTTTCTAACAGGAAGAAAACAAAGAATTAATGGCAACTTCTGCTGTGTCTGCGGTGTCGCGAAAGAGTAAGAGTAGCTTGGTGAGTCGATGCCGCACCACAGGAGCTCGACTGCTATCTTGTCTTCGAGGATGGTGGCGACGTAAGACACCGGGAAGACGTAAGGTATAATGTCAAACTTCTACACAGACACCTTTTAACTTTAAGAATTTTCTGGTATATTAACAACCAGAACTAAGTAGCTACGTAGAAGCCTACTCTCATCAACTTTTTTTACTCAGGATTCTCGTGGTGCTGGCTCAATTCGAGGGATATGTCCCCTGTCCCCTGAGGCTCGCCGTCGTGCTGCTAGTCTCCTGGATCAGCGTCACTTGTACTCTCCTGGAGCACCCCGCTCGGTAGTCTGGAAGTTTAATACTGTCAACGAGGCTATGGTTAATTCGGCAAAATGGAAAGAGTATACTTTCGAAATGACGCCTGATCCGAGCGGTGAGCTTGTTTTCAGAGTTAGTCACGTCGTGCTCCAAGAAATATGTTGTTAATTAACGATAACCTATATACTACCTATATACTACCTATATACTTATAGATAAATTTGACTAAGAAACATTTCATTTAGTTGATGCTGATAGAAACTAGAATAAAGTCGATATATGGGAGTCCGTCTATGAGCCATGTATAACCTGACCAACTTGTTTCACTTCCCTCACTCATATCAATATATTATACGCGTTCTGAACCTGGCCTTAGAAGGACATCACTAGTCTGATCGAGATATATAATATACGTCAAGGTCTACCTCACCCTACCTTTTACATTTCGATCACGTAACACAACATTATTTAAAGAAGCTAAATATCGTCGTCAATTCGCCTAAAATCTGTTCAAGTCGAACTTATCTCAAATGTTCGGGCATAACGTATTACATTAGTAGTATAATGTTTTTATTTGTCTTATTAATGCGTTATTGGTTACATAGTCACTTACTCTGTTAATTAATAGTATTTATAATTATTCGGCACTTTCTGGAAAATAATTTTCTGGTATATTATGAATAATTTATGAATGCAAAATTTTTATTATTTATTTAGCATTACTGTCTCTGTCGAACTTAATTTTTATTCTTAAGATGTTTTACTTTTTTAACATCGATGTTGATAATAACCATATAAGATATCTATTTACATACTTTATAAAACATCTCATTAAACAACATGTAGGTACAACATATCCTGGCTCCTAAAATATAAATTATTTGAATTATTAATTTGTTTTTCAGAAAAACTCGCATTAGAAGATTATTATTAGATTAAAAAGAATATTTATTTAGAACTGCATTGCGAATTGTATGCAAAAATACAAGTAAGTATATACCAACTTCACAATGAATATAATATAGTCTAGTAACTTATTTTTATGGAACAAAAAGAAAAAAAGCTCGTAGTCACATGTGATCTCTGTTATTTACTCTGGCTATTTATAAATAGAAACTATGTTAGATTGTCATCCCTGTATCACATTGATGACATTGGACTAGTAACAATTAAACCTATTTTTATTTTTATGTGTAATACCAACAAATCCAAGATTGCTAGCGATTGAGTCCCAGATTAATAAAAATTACGTTGTTTTCCTTGTGGTTGAGGAAGTGAACCTTGTAACTATGAAGCTTAGCTAGATTTACATTAAGTTTATTATTTCTGGCAATTTTTGATCGTAAAATGTATCTACGTCAGATGAATATGACGAAAAAGCGAGTGACGTTTGTAACACCAACGATATTTATTAACAACATTGAGCTACATAATTATTTAATATTGATATGTCTTTATGAAATAAGTATGAAGTGTATCTATTTTTAACCGACTTCAAAAAGGAGGAGGTTCTTCATTCGACTGTTTTTTTATGTATGTTACGCGATTACTCCGACATTTGTGAATCGATTTCAATGATTCTTTTTTTGTTAGAAATGAAATACCTCGGGTAGAGGTCCCATTCAAATTTAAAGAAAATATTCCACCTGTAAGGTTGGCAAATTAAGGGATGAATCCGTTTATTGGATTTCACCGATTTTCCGTTAACAGTACAACTTGACAAATAATTGTAATTTGACGAACTTTTGAGGTCGACTTTTTATTTTTTTTTTAAAGTTATAATTATTTTCTCATTTCAGGTCGAAGTTTAGAAACAAAGAAGTATTACGTATTTTGGTTTAGTTTAACGGTTAACGATTGAAGAATGAAAACTTGAGTAACATGAATATGCATACTTAATAGTAAAAAATATTGAATAATTTATAAGTAATTTAACAAATATTAAGTTGTTTATTTTAATGGTAAATTAAATAGTAACAAATTATTGCTTTTTAATTACTTAATGAAATATTGTCGATGGAAAGGCGAAAGTACCAAAGCGCCATTTTGGCCTTATGGAGGTTAGTAATTTCGCCTTTCCAGTGACGATATGTATGAGTGTATGTTAAGCCACATTCTAAAGTTTGGATTATTTTTATAATATCAAGCGACGGGGCGAACAAGTCGTGCACCTGGTGGTAAGCGACACGCCTATCCGTAACAGTTGCAGTGCCACTCAGAGCTTTAAATCGCAAAGATCTTAGGGTCACTGCCACTGCGCCCGTCAGACATAAGGTGACAAGTCCCATGTGCCCGTAATTTCACCAAAAAACTATCACCACTCTAATACTTATGTAAGTATTACGTGTGTAATTCCAATATTCAATATTAAAAATAATTCTGATTGTATCGAATAGGTAAGGCTGATGTGTTTGTTTTATATTTTTGTTTCGAGATCTTTTAGATCCGTAGAAAATTACTTTTCGTTAACGAATTTTAAGCATTGAAAATATATCCCATATATGAAGTCGTGGTATCGTAGTATGTAGGTCGTGGTAGTCGTGGTGCTAATGGTTGACCTAACTGCCTCTCAAGCAGAGGCCGTGGGTTCGAATTCGCACTCGCACCTGTGAGTTTATCGGGATTTGTGTTAAATTTAATTTAAAATGAGCTTTTCAGCGAAGGAAAACATCATAATGAAACCTGCACGTCGAAGAAGGTTCACAACCGTCGGAAAACGTGTCTCCAAACCGCATTGTGCCAGCATGGCCTAAAACCCTCGCCTGAATGGAGACTTGTGCCCAGCAGTGGGGCATATAAAAGGGTTGATGATATAATGAAAAAACATATCGCGTATCGCAACAATACCTCTATCCCGTGTTTATACCACTTTATCACCATCTAATATATCTGAAATGTACGATTTCTATTTGAAATCTATTTGAATGAAGTAATTTAGTCTAGAATTATGTAAATCGTGCTCTCTAGTTATAGCCACGTAATATTATATTGTAGAAACGCTACCTACGTACATTTAGGCGCGTTGGTTGGACGACATGGATCCGATCGAAATAGTTTAGCGTAAATGTAAATTTACCAGCTTCTTATTCGGTGACAAAGAGGTGTAAGTCTTGTTACGATTTTCTCATAAAACAATTTTAGCTTCGTTATAGTTACAGCTGTAACTATAACATTATATGCATGCAACGCCATGCATTAAAACTAGTGTAGTGTTCATTTTATATATTTCATTTACCATTTGCCATGAGGTCATAGATGTTGGAAACATAAAAAGTATATATAAACTAATTTAAAATAATTAAAACAGCCTTCATGACCTTTGTATACATTTTTGTAAGATATATTGTTATGAATCCTTGTATAATTTGGACGTGATCATTAAGTAACGTGGAAACAAAAGATTCGTGATAATTTTATTTTAAGAGATACATTTTTTGGTTCTCAAAGGTTGCATTGGAATAGGTGTTAGCTCGTCAATTTCATAATATGATATGTAAAAATACCTTTCATCTTCCTCTTACCTATAGCGTGCATATACGATCGTAGTGTGGTAGAGCAGGACGGACGTTAGCGAAAATAGAACGGTCGCGGATTCCTGGGCCAAATCTCAAATATCCAGATGGGTGCGCCATCTAAGTCAGTTAAAACAGTCTTGTGAAAAGTCGCCGAGCCCCACTTCTTGTCTGAACGTCTGCCAGTGAAGACCGGGAGGGAACCAACACCACACAAAATGGTGAGTCATCTACTGAAGCCAGTGAAAATGTGAAAAGGAATACAGTGTGATAAACGGACTGTTAACCTGAAAAGTGATAATGAACGCGTTTTGGTTCTCGTGATACGTTTCCCACTGATCGGAAGCTCGAGAGCGGCGCGATGTTTGCTAAAATTTTATCAACAGCTTAAATTGAAAGTGTTGTGCAAAACAGTGAAACAACATTGACAACATTCACACAAATGGTTACGGCCGGTGCGCCGTGGTCTACACCTCAACTTATCTCAACACCACACGTATCCACAGTTATCAAAAGAAAATAACGAAATGTTTTTGGTCATTTTCAGAGCGACCTCAGCAAAATCGACATCGAAAGTGAGTACGTTGTGTGGAGTACTTATCAATGTTTACTAATTGGTTTGGAGCAACGATCTCACGTCCTTCACCAACACATGGGGCATTGATCTGACAGCTAATACATCCACATCATGAATAAATTTTGACTGGAAGCCTAACATTGACATACGGTCTAAGACTTTATGTGGTGATATTTAGTATATAGGGTCGATACGTTTGCTGTAATAAGATTATGTAAATGTAATCGGAGTAAGCATCGTAACATCTAAGTTTAGCGCCCATTCTCATAAAAGGCGTTCGTTGCTAAGAGATGCCGGCGGTGGAGCCAGTGGCACGGCCACGCTACCCGTGCGCTACGTTCTAAATTTAACCGCCCACGTCACAAGGCGCGCGCGCCGCCCGCCCAAACAGAGAAACTCCACTCGAATTTCATTGCAAGCGAGCTTTCGCATTTTGGTGTGTGAACTTCAAACAGCACATCTGTCATTAATCTGTCATTAATCGGGACTAAATCACATACATTATACATTTATGTCTGTTATCATTATTAAGGTCACCGTACCTTATTAGATGAGACGTTCTTTTGTGCATCGGTCAGATTTTACTGTGAATAATCAATGAAAACGACGTGGAATTAGTTTGGAGAATATAATTTCTGCTATTTATTTTACCTCTGTTTGTTTATAAGAATGAAACATTTAATAACCATTATCTTTAGAATCGAATTATATATTTTTAAATTGATCTCTACTTCTTTAATATTTCGAAGTTATAAATTCAGTGGATAGTGAACAGTGAGTAGTGAGCAGGCGGTTAAAATTAGGGCACAGTTACAATCGGGATATAATTAGCGCGTGAGTCAGTCAGTCGGTCCGTCGAAACGTGGAGGAAAGAATTATTCTGGGCAAAGAATGTACGCCCACTCGCTGGCCTCCGCCTCCCACACGCCTTACCTGTCCGTTCAATTGAGATTTTATAAAAAAATGTTATAAATTTTCATCGCAAATATTAATGACTGTGGAATCTCTTTTAATGAAAATTAAATAATGGGAAAACAACACGATCTACAATTACAAAAATACATTTTGAATTAAATTACTGCTGCCAAGTAAATGGGATTGCGGCATTATGCCAGCATTGTACAAATAGGTTGTCGTTTCTATAATACAGAAGTCAGATGTTTTGGACACAGCGATTCAACCAAGAAAATCTGATATAGCCAAGTAAACAGCACTATAAAGGCCATTATAACGAGAATACATAGACTATAACAAATATTATAATAATAGGGGGCTTAGAAAGTAGTTTTACTATAAGTTTTAGTGTAAGTTCTTATTCTCTTTTGAATAAATAAAAAAATAATAATAACATGTTAATAGTAAAAACATGCTTTTTGATATGGACAGCTGTATCCGAGAACCGAGTTCGATGACATCAACTGACACACTGGGAAGAGAAGATGTTAAATAATAAATAGCACTAATGTTCATATCATAACTATACTAATAGATAATTTTCGAAGATAATTTGACTTTACTGCCACCGCGGCCGAACGGTTACCATGCTGATCTGCCACGCAGAGGTTCTGGGTTCAATTCCCGGGCCGGGAGAAATATATGTATAGCCTACATTTATTTATCTCCTGAGTTGTGGGTGTCCACGTCACCCACGACACAGGGTTTCCCTAGTACGGAGCTATGAGTGTGTAAGCTATTATTGTACTAGTGTGAATGATTGTGGTCGTGCTAAAATTAATAAATTCATGATGAAATGAGTTGGACCACAGTAGCTCTTCCATGACCTTAACTTACCCTAACTAAAGTATTAATATGGCAAATAGTTCTTGATCTGACTGCAAGAGTCCCCGTCCTATTATTTTGACTTGGATATTGTAAATGCATTCAGATGCTAGTTGAGGTAATATTAACTTTAAAACACTCTCATTAGCCTTAATAAGACCATAAATGCGCTTGATAACTTTGTAATCCATATAATTTACCCCGCTACTATTGTGAACAAATGGGAATTTGCAGAGGCATCCTTCGCCTTCTCAATTTACGACTTCGACGGTAGCGGCAAGATTGACGCTTACAACCTTGGCGATGTCCTGAGGGCGCTCAATTCCAACCCCATATTGGCGACCATCGAAAAGCTCGGCGGCACCAAGAAGAAGGGCGAAAAGTTCCTTACAGTAAGTTTCATTCATGATCTTCATCATCATAAGTAGACACTCGCACTCGGTTTTGAGCCATAGTTTACCACATCGCCCAATGCGGTTTGTAGACTCTTCGAACAATTTTGTAAATTTTCTCCAACGTGCAAATTTGATCACGACGTTTTTCTTCACCGTTAGGTACAGAATGTTAAAGTTAGTGACTTATACTGAACATGATTAGAGCTCAGTAATGTAAACCATTTCGTTACCAACCAGTTTCGTTATTGTTAGTTGTTAAAAGTGATGGCAGCATCAATTCCAAGTTCTTCTTTTTGAGGTATCTTGTAGAGCAAGTAAGGGGAGCTCATGCCAAACAACTGGTTTAAGTTTTTTGTAATCATGTCATCAACACATATATGTAAATCGGTGTATGGTACAAGTAAACCATTCGATAAGATTTATATGGGATAAATTTAAAATGTGGGACAAATTTGTTCAGTGTGGTTTGAATGTGGTAGCTCTATTTGAGTCACTTTTACACAATTGATTTAAATACATATTACGCGGATACATTATAGATTCAACGCCTAAAAAGTAAAATGGGATAAGCGACACTTTTGGGTGATATTAAGTTGTATATACCGTTGGAATCGGAAACATTAACTGATTCCAACGGTAGATATAACTCAATATAACCAAAAGTGTCGCTTATCCAATTTTGCCTTTCAAGCGTCGGATTGAAACCTAAATGGATGAAATTTTGAAACTTATTTAACACTTTGGATTCTTCTCCTTTGATTTACTAAGCACGATTAGAAGAATTTCAATTTTGCACACCATGAAAAATATTCTATTTATCTAAATATTTATTATTCTATTCCAGCTTGAAGAGTTCCTTCCCATCTACAGCCAAGCAAAGAAAGACAAAGACCAGGGCTGCTACGAGGACTTCCTTGAATGTCTGAAGCTGTACGACAAGAATGAGAATGGTCTGATGCTTGGCGCTGAGCTTACACACACACTTATGGCACTAGGTCAGTATGTAATATTTAAACTTACTAAGATTATATTGTCTCCGTATAACTTTATATCCATAGATTGTCTAGCATTACGTTGGCGACTATTAGAGAGGTTATTCACAATTTATTTCCTTATAGCTTAGCCTACCTATGACCCGTAGCGGACTGTGCTATGGTGACACACTAACTAGCTAACAGCGAACACTTTACTAAATTAGATCAAGAGGGATAATGTTTTTCTTTTTCTACGTTTACATTATGTTTTGCTCGGTGTCTGGTGTCGTAAACTTTCAAGAAAGAAGTATATAAATAAGGTTTATTTGACATAATAACCGTTTAGTTATTTTATGTCATTTACTACATATTTTACAATAAATATAAGCTAAGCTTACTAGAAGTGTTGTAACCGCGAACGTAAATCATCCGTGAGATGAAATTTTCGACAATGCTAGACAATTTTAGAATACATAAATCAGATTTTGTTGCATGCTTTGAAGTGTCAATCTTGAATTTGGCATTACACGTTATTCCAGTTGGCCATGAGTTGACCATCGGTTGGCCGTCAATGTTATCTTGGCAATACGACAATCCACTAGTAAAATTTGGCTCTATGCCACTTCGTTTCATGTATCTAGAATTGACAACTGAATGATGAATTTGTATGTATAAGAAAATTTACAATATATTCTATCTCCTCGTGTAGGTACATATTATACGCAAATACCTACCATTGTTGTTATTTTTCTTTATGTTTATTCGATAGCAGAATCTTCTCTTAAAATTCGGATTTATGTACAGGTGTTAACGGTTTTGTTATTGTTTAGGTGCATCTCTATTTCATGTTTTTCTCATATAAAATACACATAGGAGATGAAGTAGTAAGTGAACGGATCCACAAAGAACTTGTACCTAGTACTAAACAGAGTAAAAGCTGGTTAACTATAGCTGGATAACTTATCACTTTCTCCAGGTGAGAAATTGGAGGACAAAGAAGTCGACGAAGTTGTGAAGGACTGCATGGATCCTGAAGATGATGATGGCATGATTCCTTACGCGCGTAAGTTTTTTGTACATTTGCTGTTCAATAATTTAATATTCAGTAGTTATTTTTAGACATTTTCCTTAAAAAACTTAATTCCCTATGTGTAGTCGTCTGTTAACCTCATACACGTAAATATTTTTTTGTACAAGTACTTAGTAGTGCACCCATTAAATGTGACGATAGAATTACCTCTTCCCCAAACTGTAGTATACTCGTAGATTGCCTCATTAGATCTTTAAATCACAAATACACAGATGGGCACAATTCCCATATGTAGATTTCGTAGTTCCTATGTGTGTGTGTGTGTGTTCCCTGTTGACGTGTTGTCCCTTTACAGCATTCCTGAAGAAGGTCATGGCGTAGAAGACGTCACATCACATCATATCTTTAGTTATAAGATCGTAAGTGAACTTACAGGCTGTTGTTACTGCTGAATCTTCGTTTTTGCTTCCTGTGGACTCAAGCTTATCACTTCTTACCTTACTATACTCGATGTTATCTACTTTGTTTTACTCGCTTATATTATTGACACAAACCTTAACGTTTAACTACAAATTCACGGCTAATACATTCTTTATTTTATTGATAATATTTCACGCAATGCTAAACAAGTTTTGTTAACAAGATGATGATCGATAATAACAAAGCTGACTCGTGTTATAATGACTCTAATTTGAAATATGATGTTATAAATTTTATTAATATGTACATTGTGCGCATTCACAGCTTTCCTCCGGAAAATGTGCGACGGTTGGGGCGCCAAACCAGCGGAGGAGGGGGAGGCGCCCGCGGAGGGCTAAGACGGCGAGGTGGGCGCTCTTGCGCCGGACGCCGGGCGGAGAGGCGTGGGCGCAGGTCACAGCCCGCGCATCCGCGCCCCGCGGCCAGCGCTCGCTGTTCCTCCTCCCTACCCCCGTCGACACCCCGTATGCACCAACCTAGATACGGACTACCCCTTTTTATACTTTACTACAACAACGATTATGTTTGTACAACACATCATCTATTACTGTACATACTAAAATAAGATTAAAAACTGTAAAACACACGTTGTACGTGTCTTTTAAATTTATTATTATTTATTAAGTACGTTTATAATGACAAAAATACAAAAAACCGTAAATTATTTTATAATAAACTGTTAAAAATTTTCACTTTTGTGTTATCTTCAATTAACTTTCGATAGCATTATACAGTAAATGAATTCAGTAAAATTTTTACTTATTGTTCTATGTTATGAGTTTTGCCTCCGTTGACAATAAATTGCGATTTTTTGATATGAATAAAAAAAATTACAACTACATGCATATTAACACTCACCGAGTAAATTTTCTTGAGCCTATATTTCATCGAGAGGCGATGAGTACTAGAAAGGTTTAGCGTGAGGATTTCTTAAGTATCTCGTAAAAGAATACACAAATTTTCTACAGAATTGAATGGCAAGAAAAAGATGCTCTTAAGATACATTGAGGCCGTTCACCTCGTACTATAGAGTATAAGCCTTGTACCTACTATGCAACGCTCGTATGACATCCTAACCAACAGGAAAAACTATCTCTAGGTATTGGTCCTCGTACAATCGATAGGTTCTGCAAAGTAGAGAGTCCGCTACATGGTTTGACTTTGTATACGGGTCCTAATTTGTCTATATAATAATATTATGTGCCACAAAACCACACCAATTGCCTGGTCTCAAACTATGGAATTCCCTGTACTATGAGTAACAGCAACGGAATTTTGAGGCACAGGTTGTCGGAACGGTAACAAATGGGATTGAGTAAGTGGCACGAAAAGTTTGAGTATAAGTTTATTCGCAGCATACACGGTAAGTATACTAGAAAGTGACTCTAAAGTAAAATAATAATAAAAATAAGAATACTAAGTAGCGCATGGCAAAATAATTACGAATTAGTCGCAGGTCGCAGACTTCAACAAATTTTGAAAAAGAGGCTGTGACCGGCGCGGGTACAAGTGTACGTAGGTTACGTAGGTATATAAGATCATTGAGTGTAGGTATATAGTATATTGTCGTGCGTCTTTTTTATTATAGAATAAGTGCGCATTTAAATAAATATTAGACATCACATACGTTGTTCTGATTCCAAAGTAAGTGACTAAAGCACTTGTGTTATGGAAATCGGAAATAACGACGGAAATAACAAACACCCAGGCCCGAGGCAATATAGAAAGTTAGTTTTCTACATCCCGGCAAGGGATCGAACCCGGGACCTCAGAAATGGCGACACCATGAAAACCGTTGTAGAAGCGACCACAGAGTTCGTCAAACCTCCAAACTTTGATCCCAGCTCACCTGATGTCAAGTGACAACGAGGTCGATGATGGAGCATGCACACCCAAATAATGCCTCCCGCCTTGAAAAGGTCCAAGTTATAGCATTCTGGGAATATGTCTATAGGCAAGGGATTCCACTCTGCAACCGTTCGCCATATGAATGTGAAAGCGTATTAGGTATAACTGCGCTTAGTGCGTTTGATGCTTGCTTAATACTTTAGTTGTATAGATTTCTGATCGGCCTACCTACACGCTTAACAACCGTGCGGGGCTTAGAGCTTTTACTAATCCGATAATCGATTGCCGGTCAAGAGTTAACAGTCATTCATACCTGGGGATGTCAAATGTGAAATACAGTGAGCCCCTTTATCAACTATGGATTTGTATATCGAATCGGCGATTATCGGATATCAGAATTCCTTTATTTTTTTCCATTCTCTAAGGTCAGAATGGAATAATTGATAGATCAGTCAGAAATCAACTTTTTTTCCATCCTCTAAGGAAACCAGCTTGTTATATGGGATGGAAACGTTTGAGTTGTTGTGAAAACAGATCTTATAGAATTTAAATGCAAAAATGAGTTGGGGGTTTACTGCTTGCATGCAGGTGCAATAAAATATAATATGTAGGAGCAGAAGCATGTAATAAACAGGAGAAATAAAAATCAAATTCACCTATGGGTAGGTCCGTTGTTAAGTAAGATCCTTTTACTGAAGAAACTCGGATCTTCAGTGTTCACAGACCACAATAAAGATCACAGACCACTGATTTTTAAAATCAGTGGTCTGTGATCAAAGCAATTCTACCTGATATACTACTCATTCAAAAACTTAGACAAAAAAAAATTCAAATCGCTGTCCCAAATCGATGACAAACCTACATAATTAACTGGACAATGCCCATTCAAAGCAGGGGCGGCCCTGCCCAGTACTTTGTCTATAGACTTGAGTAATATAGTCGGGGTGTTTGCCAAAATGTTGCACCACGCGCCAGAGAAAATGGCGCGGGAAACGTTTTCCCGGCTCGATACGGCCGTTCGGCTTTCATCGGAAGTTGTTCGGGTGTGATCGTGTCGCGCTTCAGAGTTCGCTGTGTGTGAAGCTGTGGATCGGTATTGCAAAGTATGAAAATTTCCTCACTTATGAGTAGAGAATACGAAAAGACAGAAAATTTTACCTAAACTTTAAGTAATAATACCTCCCTCTGATATACACTTCCTTATATAAATATCTCTGCTTATTCCGATTTTTTCTTATGTACATATGCACATTACGTATGTATGCTTACCGATTACGAATGCACATAAAACTTCACAAGGTAGTTTTACAATTGCTGTGTTGCATATTTTAAAGTATTTCATTTTCTACTGGCAACAGAGAGATAACACCAAAATATTGCTTAAAATTTAGTAAAACTGGAAATTCAGTAACAAATATGTAGGCACGTCATTCAGATTAGTATTTTGTCACTTTTTTATAAAAAAGTCAGAGTAGTATTTTGACACTAAACAATTTTATATACTTATATAGTTAGTTATATAGTTAGATTTGATTGCTGTAATTTATTGTACCTAAGTAATGGTATTAATGTATGTACATGTAACGGAATTTCAGTCAAATAATATCCAGAATAATACAGTATGCTACAGCTAATACGAAAAAAAGTATGTAAAATGTTTTATCATTTTAATTTTTAGTTCTCACGAATAGTAATCTAGCTGACTGCATTCAATACACGTGACTGGATCTAAGTCCTATATTATGCAAGTAATAATAACAATGAATAAAAACAATAAAAAATGTTGTTAACTATACGATAACAGAATGTAGGTAGGCACTCGCGTTCAACGTGCCAAACATGCAAAATAACGAAGTAAAGACAAGATAAAGGGTCGGTAGTTTTTCCCACCTACGCTGGCAACACAATGCTTCGGCCGGGGTTTTCGCGGCTCCATCCGGCAGTGTTTATCTCAGTGGCGAGTGCGCGACTCGTTCAAACGTCGCCCGAAGTGTTTACGAGTGCTTGCCTGATCAGTGATAACGTCGCGAAGGCCGTTTACTGTAAGAAAATATTTACTATTTCACGCCTATACTAACCTCCATAGTTAAGATGAAAATAGTTTTTCGTACGAAAACGTTACCAAATTGCGCATAAGCATTACAAAAAAGCACCTTTGTCATGGGACAAAGGTTGGAGCCCCTGTAACTTGGCATAGAATTTTCTGGAATATGGGAGTGATACAAATAAAAGGGTATCATAGGGGAGTCTGTGTAATGAGAAAGTTTCTAAAATGTTTAATAATATTTTATTTCCTTTATTACGTGAAAACAATTATTAGTTAGTTACTAAGTAAAAATAAAAAGCATTAGGTACTATGTTGTTCAAAACATTTACTCTTGATACTTTTTGAATGCGAAGATTAACATTTTCGTAACATTGAATTTGATTTCAACTTTCGCTAGGTTCAACGACCAAAATGGGTTGCGAAACAGGGTACTTCTAATGAAATGCATTGCCTTAAACAAAATGTATCTTTTTTTCTTTGCAAATTTAAAATTAAGACACGTATTTGAATGAAAAACATTTTTTCAACAAACAAACCTGTTATCTACACTATCAGAAACCACCGAGTCGATGACCTGTGGTATAACACAACCGCATAACAGTGCATTTGTGACGTCTCCAGATCACATTATACAATATCCTATCGGCCGGACTCATTCCCGAAATTTGGTTCAAAATCACAAAAAAACCGAATCTCGAAGACACGCATGTTGTCGTGAGATTGACATTATAATCTAAATGGAGAAAGTTAAAGAAGTAATATTAGAATATTCTCCAATTGGAAAAACTCACAAAGTATGTCCCTATTACACAGTTCACTACTTAAATAAGCCAAGACATATTTTACAACTTTTGTAGTTAGTCATTAAACAATATTATAAGAAGAAAAAACATATTATAGTGATAAAAAACCTGTTGTAACTACAAAAATCGTTTAACCCTATGCACTTAAGAAATTTGTTACAGTAAACCATTATCTACACTTTTTGTAACAAGCTGGAGAAATTAATGACATCAGCGACAACGTAATAACACCAATCCACCTATTGCTGATTTCTCATGTCATTCGTTCCCACATTTCTTAGAGATGCCTCACAGACACTTCTCAAATCGCCTATTATAGACGTGTGAAGCTAAGGAAGATTTAAAGGCAATGTTGTTCTTTTGATCAATATACCTTTATCTTTTCTCAACAGCTCATTCACATTTATCATTTGCCTCTATTTTTCTTAATTGACTGTTTATCATATTTAAGTTGTTACTAAGCATTCAAATTACATAAATGAAACCACTAAAGTAAAGAAGTTTAATTTATGTATTTTATTTCTTTTTTATTTAGTTATTTAAAACAAAATACTGTAAAGTAGTTTATTTTATGTATTCATATTCGTCAATGTTATTGGAAATAAAACTTATTTTTTGGATATAAATCGCGTATATTACTTGTTTTATAAAACAAGTCCATGTTTTGGACCTTTACTGATCTCATAGTCACGGCTGACTGAGATGGTAAAGTCATCAACCAGTTATCTAATATAAATGTAAACCACTTTACTCTGAACTATAGTTACAAAATTTGTTATACACCTTATTTTTAATTTATCAAAGCCTACCTACGTTTTGCAAAATATTTTATTTTAACTATGTGAAAAGTGACTAATACGCCTGCTTGAGATTTTTCATCAGAGGAAA